GGCTATTACACCTTATAGTGTTTTAATAAAGTTGTACCTTATGGCAATGGAGTATTTTAAATGACTTGGCCTCATTTTTCTTTTCCTTTTATTTAAACTGAGCCCAACTCTGTCAAATTCTAACCCAGTGATTCCTATCTATAGAGGAAGCCCATTACTTCAAGGGACTCTGATAAGCCTGGAGAAGAATTCTGAATATTAGTTACTTTACTTTTTAAATATGTTAATGGATATATAACATAGGATATTTTTCCCTGAGCTATTTTCCAATTTTTGTGTGTCACAGAATAGAGGAGAGCATGGCAAATCTGTGAAATATGATTAGAAGCCACTTCCTTCCATCTTTCTATATCATCTTATAGCTGCTTGCTTGTCACACTCCCAGGCTGCTGAATTCTGCTGTTGGTTGTTGAGGGGACATGGCTGTCACCGCTACAATGGTTTCCCTTGGAATTAGCAGCTGCCCTATTCACCCATTCAGCTGACTACCTGTCTTCAGCCCATCAGACAGGAGTTCCAGGGCCCCCACTATAGGAAGGAAGCACCTGAAAAAAAAGGAAAAAGGCAGAAAGCAACACTTTACTTACGATGGTTTGCTTTCTTTTTACATCTGGGACCCAGAAGCAACAAGTTACAGCAGAAGGAGCACTGGACCAGGTGTTGGAAGACTTGAATTCAAATTTGGTCCATCCCTTACCAGGACAATCACCTGACTGTTCTGGTTTCTGTATCCAGATTTATAAAATGAAGAGGTTGGATGGGAAACGGAATTGATGTTTTCGAGTGCCTACTCTGTACTGGGGATTTCATACATAATTTCCCTGTGAACGTCACAGAAAGATGTTACTACTTCTCGTTGGTCTTTATCAGTTATAAAGATTAGATGGCACTTAACTTCAATAATGCAGACTAACTGGGAAAAAAATTTATTCCTAAGCTAGCACAAAGTCCAAATTATTTAATACTTAAGGATATGCAATGTCATTGTTTACAGGTAAATTACTAACAATTTAAATTAATATTGAATAATTATTTAAATTAACTAATATTCAAACCAGTGTTTGTATGCAAACGGCATCTGTACAGTATCAAGAGTTTTGAAAATTTTATTTTTCCTAAGTACTTTACTTCCCCTGTAACTTGTTTCTGCTGTTAATTTACTTGATAAAACTATCATTATACTGCACAGGCAGACTAGCCCACCCCCAAATTTCAATTACCACAAAATTCAAATTTTGTGGGGTCCATATAACTAACATTTGACAATGTCTCCTGGTGTATGTCAGGCTCCTGATTATAGATACAGGATAACACTAACTTGACAATAGGACCTTGGGCAAGAGGCCATGCCTGATTTCCCAGAACAGTGAAGAAGAAAGTGATAGTTTTTCTTTTAAAAAACTTGGGTCCAAGGTACTGACCTTTACTCTATATATAGTTTGAAGAATTGGAACGGGTTCAAAAAACATAAAGACAAATGATTAAAGGCTAAAGGGACTGACTTGAAGAAAAATAGAGGCAATGAATAATGCAGAGTTTGCTAAATAATGACCACAGAGAGGGTTTAATAATCCCACAAATGTTTTAAAGACACAAACATCTAGGAGGAATAGAATTATTTCAAGAATTACCCTTTAGTTCTAGAATGGGAAAAGTATGGATTAGTTGGTTTAACATTTTTTTAAAAAGGAAAATGCTGTTTGAGTAAAAGGAAACAGAAAGACATCTATTTTAATGGAAAACATTAAATTAATCAAAGGAGTAACTCGTATGAAATCTCAGTCTGAATTCATTGAAGCCCTTTGTGAATCCAGGGAAGGCAATGCTTTGGCTCAGCTTCGGGGTGATGGGCAAAAATATTCTAACACACCTGAGAGTCTAACCTCTCACTACTTCCAAACCACGTTGGCAGTAGGTTGGGCCAGGGCAGGTTTTTGGTGCATCTTCTCATTGGGAGCGTGGATTCTGTCCATTCTTTTGTTGATGAGTAGCATAGGGTTTGGCTGTGACCCTTTCTCGGTCTACTCTTTAATCTGACTTTTGCAGCTGTGAAAATAATCAAAGTACCTCACAGGTCGTTAGGCTAGGTAAACTGCTCATTACAGAACGAAATGAGACCAATGATAGTCATATTCTGTCGATGCAAAATGTGTCTACTTCCTACCATCTAACTAAATGCCACTTGCTAAGTATTTATGGAGCATCTACCATATGCTTATCACTGAGCTGGTCACTGTGAGGATACATAAGAATTTCATCGTGTACTCACTGCCCGCGAGAGACTTAAAATCTTTTTGGATATATCCAACATATACTCAAGAATGATATTTAAAATATTTCACAACAAGACCGACATAGGCTCTGGCCAAAGAGAGTGGATAGCCCTCTTATCTGAATGAATGCTATAGTTGATATAGCATAATGGTGCATGTTGATGAATACTGGCTCTACTTACCTCTGATTTTTTTAAAAGCTGGAGAAAAAAATCTATGCCTAAAATGTTATGTTGTGTATTAGCAAATGTCAATAGATATGATGAAACATAAATGCTGTATATGCGGTCCTTCCCTGCCCATGGCAGACAGCATCAATCAATAATGATGCTCTTTCATGATGAACCCAAGTGCCGAGTCCTTGGCAGTCAAAAGCAATCAAAGTTAACTCTTGTGATGAAATGTATTTCCAACCTCTTTTAGACACCATAAGTATCGGTCACGGAAGGAGGATAATATCAAGATATCCAACCACACAAACCTTTCCAATGATACTTTCTTGATATTTTTCAGGAGTCTCTTCTTGCTTATCCCTTAATCAAGAGAAGCTCCCTTCTTTCAAATGTATATGTATTGGTTTTTCCCATTTCCTTTCCTTTGCCTATGGCCTTCTTCTTGTCTGACTAAAAAGATCCCCCAGCAATTGAGTCCATTTACAAACAGGTTAAATCTCTTCTCTTTCTACCAATCTTACCCTTGTAACTTTTTAAATGCATCTTTTCTAAGCACTGACTAACAGAGTAAAAATAATATATATATATATATTTTTTGGTGAGGGAGATTAGCCCTGAGCTGACACCCGTGAACATCTTCCTCTACTTTGTATGTGGGATGCTGCCATAGCATGGCTTGATAAGCAGTGTGGGGTCCGGGCCCGGAATCTGAACCTGCAAACCCTGAACCGCTGAAGCGGAGCCCAAGAACTCAACCACTACGCCACTGGGCAGACCCCTAAAAATAATATTTTTAACTCTCTTTGAGGTAGGTGTTACTTTTTAATCCTTCTCTGATCATTTACTTTGTATCTATCTTATATCCCTATTTTCATTTTAAGCTCCTCAGCACAAAAAGTATATACATATCCACTTTAGTTATACCATACACAATGATAATTGACCCATAATTTAAATATGACTAACTAAATAGATGAATAAACGAAAAAAAATTCTACAGGCTCAAAGGCTATATGCAAAAATTAGGGATGTTTAAAATTGCCTCAAATTTTTGAGAACGCCAAAATCAGAATAGCTCTTTGCACAATTTTATTTTAGCGAAAACACTTTTTCAAACAAATGCAGTAGAAATGAGTGTAAATATTTCACACAGGGCTGCCTCTGGCTGATTTTCTTAACTAAGAGAGAAAGTTCACAGAAACCTGTAAACAAAATGTCCGCCAGAGGTGACAAGGGAACATTAAGTCACATTCCCTCCAGTGAGCGTAATTTCTTAGTGAGACCAGCTGGCATTTTACAAAAGTTTACCTGGTGTCAAACCTGCTGGTAACTGTGTTGTTCTGATTTAGAAATAAAGGATTGACTCAGAGGTGTCTGTAAAATCATTCCGCAGGAGGATAAATCCCAACTTTAACAGCAAAATAAGGGGTAAACCATTAGCTCTGGCTGCTGTTTGGACCTCGTGATTAACTCAATCTTCAGGTTGTCAGTGTGGCTGGCAAGGAGGTTGCTGGGCAGGCTCCAGGCTGGGCTTAGCAGATGCAGGGCTGCGATCGCTTTCTCTGCTTGATGCTGGTTGCTGCCTGGGAGGATGCCCCCATCTCGAGCCCTCTGTGAACGAATGGTCCCTAAGTCCACAAAGTGGTTTTTGAAATCTGAATAAGAGCTCAGCTATCATCTACGAAATTGTGGCTCATCGAGTAGAAATTATGAAGAGATCCTGTTTTTCAATTTTTTTTTTATTGGCAAGCATCCTTAGTGAAACTGACTCTTTCTATAATAAGCTGTCATCGGATACAATTGTTTCGGAATACGGTCTCTGTGTTTGATTGCAGGGTCTGTGGGCTTCAGACAGTAGGAATGCAATGTTTAAGCTTCCTCACTTATTGCCTGCTGGTGTACAAATACAGGATTTGGCAATTTAGCCTAAAACCTTCGTCTCTCCTGCTACATTCATCCATCCATCCGCTCTGGGAGGTACGGGAATGCAACTTGCTGCAGGCTCTGAGACAAGGGGAGGCCGGTAATGCTGAAATCAGAGCCCAAGTGTGGGCCTGCCTCATGCATAACCAACTCACAAAATACAGTCTGACAGACCCCTTCCTACAGTTGAACTCCAGACTCCCCACCCCTGAAATCAAAATAAATAAATAACAGCCAAATCCTCATAAATGCTGGAAAGAAGCAGCTGGTAGCCAGAAGACCACTTTAATAACAGGAATAAAAATGAAGCCAAAGCTGAGTTCAAAAAGGTTTATATCTGGAGGGAAAAAAAAAAAAAAGAATTAATGTAAAGAGAGGGATCAAAGCCACTTCTGTGTCATGCATCCCTGTAGCAGAGGAAGGCAGGAGAAAGGAAGAAATTTCAAAATCAGAAACCATTCTGACACTCCCCCAGATAACAGCACACAACGTATTTTAAAGATTCCTGTGTTAACATCCTCTGCCAGGATAGGTCTAGAGTTATTTCAATTTCATCTTGCAGTGGAAGAATCTCCATATACCAAAAATGTTGATGGAATAGCATTCTTTATATAGGGGCAACCATGCTGACACAGCTTGGCAGCTGAGGCCTCAGTGAATTTTGTTAACCCAATGCTTTGCTATTAACTGCATCCCCAAGTCCTCTGTAATTTAGCAACCTGTCTATTTACTGAGGCTCTGACCACTTTTATGGAGTATTAATTACCCATGACAGGATTTGAACACCTGTGCAATGTAAATAGTGATAGATAAAATTTGGTATGTTTATACAACTGTGTGGGCAACAGTTGAGCCTATATGTTAATGTAAAACCTGCCACTATTTGGAAATTTTGAGAGAAGTCAGTTAACTTCCTTTTCTTTCTGCCCTCATGGGGTGTTCAACCTAATAAGGAAAGGTGAGAGTAAGATTTTGAGATGCATCATGGTATGCTAGAAAAAGCATCAGTCCATGGTCAGAGTCCTGGCCTGGGCATACGCTGGGTTGTCCTGAGCAGCCTGAAGCTTTGGTAGACTTGTTTTTCTCCTTTTTCTGCTCTCACTTTCCTAAAGGGTTGTCAAGAAGATCAAATGAAATAATATCACATAAAAACATTTTGAAAATTGAGGCACCGGCCTGGTGGCGTAGCAGTTAAGTGCACGCACTCCACTTTGGTGGCCCGTGGTTCGCAGGTTCAGATGCTAGGCGTGGACCTACTCACTGTTCATCAAGCCATGCTGAGGTGGCTTCTCATATAGAAGAGCTACAATTCTACAACTATGTTACACAACTATGTACTGGGGCTTTGGGGTGAAAAAGGAAAAAAAGATGAAGATTGGGAACAGATGTTAGCGCAGGATCAATCTTCCTAAAAAAAAAAAATTTTGAAACTTGAAATGCTATGTAACTCTGTACAGAAAAGCTTATGACAAGTACACCCAAAATTTATATAAAGCTATAGATGTTCAAAAATTAAAGATACCCGCTTACAGAGGTGATTAAAGTAGGTTAGTTTTTCTGCTAAACCTTAGAGAAAATGAAGCCTTCCAAACACAGAGATGGAGGTAGACATTGTAGGTGGAGGGAATAGAGTGTAAATAGAGGTGAGAAAATGTATATATGGCTTGTTAAAAATCTAGAAAGCAGTCTCATTTGTCAAGAGCATGGGATAGATAGTATTAAGAAAATTGTTGTTTTTGGTGTCTATATTTTAAATGGTAAAATTTCCCATTCTTTCATTTCAAATGTTAGTTACAGCAACGCCAACAACTCATATACCACATGTCACATCTAAATGTGTAAATATTTACAGCTCAATCTGTATTTTAGCTTTTTTACACAATAGTCCCTGCTGTAGACCATGTTAACATCAACCATAAAAAATTCAAAATAACTTCTCAATTTCCTTTGCTGTTCCTTGCTATAATGGCTGATTTTTTATGTTAATGTTTCTATTGTTTTAATATTCTTGCTTCTCTCGTTCATATTCTAAGAGATTATTGTTAGCGCCAACTCATTTGATTTATCATTTAGAGAAAGCATTTGTTCAAAAAGTCAGCACTGGATATTAAATGATGATTGCCTGCAATGAATTCCTTCTCAACATCTGCAAAGACAATTTTGCCGTTTCTTCTTCCACTTAACTCTAAATGAGAGATCTTAATGTACTTAAATAGGCTTCATATCAGCTTACAGAATATCTTCTTAAAATCTAGGATGTTAAAAACAATAAAGTTTTTAATGGTTATTTTTCTTGGTGAAAGTAAAAAAGCACGTATAACAAGGTAACATTGAAGTATGGTTCATATAATCTTTCCCCAAAATGGTAGTTAATAGTGTACAATTAAAATATTTCTTGGACCAGCCCAGTGGCCTAGTGGTTAAGTTTGGCACGACCCGCTTTGGCAGCCCGGGTTCAGTTCCCAGGCACGGACCTACACCACTCGACGGCGGCCATGCTGTGGCAGCAACCCACATACAAAGTAGAGGAAGATTGTCACAGATGTTAGCTCAGGGTGAATCTTCCTCAGCAAAAAAAGGAAAAAAAAGCTTTATAATTTATCCACTGCTCTTAATTTCAGAGAATATTTATTTCTTCTTGACCATTGAATCATGAAAATACAAATAGGAAAGAGTGAAGATGCTATTTTAAAATAAACTTTTCAGTTTGTTAAGCCCTCCTCCAAATGGAAATACTTACAGTAGAAATACAATATGGTCATTCCAACTGTATTTTTAATGTGTATATTGCAGAGTTAATGCCTAACAGTTGGCTGGGACTTCATGACATTGAGATTATAGCAAATAGGATACTCCTAAAATAAAATGACATCTCAAAGGAAAACATGGCATAAAAAATTATTATTGTATTTTGTTTTAAGAAGAGACATCACTGTGGCCAGCAAACAGTTCAAAATGTTACGTTCATTGCTTTTTGTCACCTTTGTGTTAGTATCTGCCATTTTATTTGAGGCCAACAAGAAGTTGATTCATCCATTCAATAAACATTTCTTGACCACTACCATGTGTCAGTCATAATACCAGGAGCTGAGTAGGAGAGGCAGAAATATAAAACTAAGTAAGTTACATTTCTTGCCTTAGATAATCTTAAATAATAATAGGAGAACCAATTACATAAGCAACTAACTGTAATAGAATTTGGTCCAAACTATAAGATAGGTCTGTACAAAGCATTCTATAAATACACAGAAGGGAACAACCCACTCCATCTTCATATGAGATAAAATTTACGCTGGATCATAAAGAATAAGTGGGAACATGGCAAATAGAGAAAAGGATAAAGAATTATTCAAGGAAAAGGTAATCACTCAGACAATAGCAGAGAGCTGTGAGAGCATGGTATAGTTTTAGGAAGAATAAATTGTTTGGTAAATGTGGAATGCAGAGATTTGGGGAGCAGTAGCATGAGATGATGATGGACGTAAAATGAGACCAGACAGAGAAGAACTGTGTCTTCCATCCTAAGAAGACTGGATTTCATCCTCTAATCTGTAGATAGAGGGGAGTGGGAGTCAATGAAGTTTTCCAAGCAGACAGACGATAGGCTGATGGCAATGATGATCATGATATGGGAATGGCTAACATTCACAAATCACGCACTCTATTCCAGGCATCATTCTACATGCTCCATGTGTTATAATATGACCATCCCTATGATGACTCCCAATAACAATCCTATATGGTTGGTACTGCAATTTCTCTATTTTTCAGACAAGAAAATTGAGGCACAGAAAATTGAAATAAACTGCCAAAGGTCACTATAAGTTGTAGAGCCATGATTTAAACCCCACTCTCCTAACCACTAGACCGTAATGCATCATCACACTCTTGTTTTAGAATAAACCTGGAAGTGGTCTGGAGGATGGATTGAGTGAGAGAGAGAATGAGCACATTTAAGAGACTGTGCATTCTTTCAATAAATATATAAGGTGCCTACAGTCTGTTGGTATCTAAGTTAGATGCTGGAGATAACAGCAGTAAATAAAATAATTTCTCTCTTTTCCTGGAGCTATTACTATAGAATAGTGTAAAAATGGTAAGTGTCTAAACTAAGTTAGAGATAATGTTAGATCAAGAATAGGGAACCAAATCAAGAGGTAATTAGGACCACGAATGGACAGGCCCTGGTGACATATGAAAAGTGAGCAGGCACAGAGAGGTGGAAATACAAGAAGACTAAGTTTTCTAAATTGGACCACTGGTTGGACAGCGATGCCAATTCAGGGCAAGATCAGTGGGAGAAGAAAAAGAATTTCAGACATACTGAAATGAAGGTGCCTTTGAGACATCCAAATGGGAATACAGGTCCAGAGACTGGTATATACCCAAATACTTTTGAGTAAATATTTTCAAATATTTTCATGCCATTTTATACCCTCCAATGCTAATATAAGGAGTTCCCAGATTATAATGCACAAATTATCACTCCATTAATAACTCTACATAAGCTTATTAAGTGTTTATAAGGGGATCCAGTGGGGAGCAGGATAGACATGGTCCCCGGCTTCTCGCTCAAGACTAAGCACGCACATTTGCCTTAGGTCCCACTAAAATGAATACAAAGAGATATTTACGTAATAAGAATGAAAATCATAACAGTGCAAGAGAACAAGAAAGGAGGCTCTCACTGGACGGGAATCTTTGAGGACTACCTAGAATGTTGAAAATGAATGGGATCAAATGGACAGAAGAATTGCAGAAGAAACTGCAGCCCAATCCTCAGGGAGAAGCATGATCTTCTCCAGGGAGCACTGGAGAAGCTGGAAGGCCAAAGTCAACAGACATGAAGAGCAGGAGTGAGCTGTGGGAAATGGCAGGATAAGTCATTTAAAAGTTGCCTTTCAAACAACCAGACTACTTGCTCCCTACCACCTGAACAGCAGCCTAAACAGAAAAGCAAGTTGTTGTGACCTAGAGAAAGTGAAGCAGTTCCCTACTGAGGGCTCCCTCTGAGAGGACAGGGGCCAGAGTGGAGCCTGAGACACTGAAGCCCTCCACCCAAGAGAGAAGCCCCCTTACCTGGGCAGTCTCCACCTACCTGCTCACTCCTCCTCATAGACGGGAAACAGCCTATCTCAATGCCCTACTCACGGACACAGAGGTCTCAAGGGAAATGGTGTATGTACACAACTGTGAGCAGACCCCTGCCAGCTACCTACATCAACAAACAGCTCTTCACTTGTGAAGAACAAACCAAGGATCAGTGACAGGGAGGAAAAAGACCAGCATGAAAGAAAAGCCAAGCTGGAATACAGTACAGTACTGTATACTGGAGAACAGCATGGATTCTGGGAACAGACTCCCTGGATTTAAATCCCAGCTTGGTCATTTATAGCTGTATGGCCTTGGGTAAGTTAATCTCTCTTTGTCTCAGTTTCCTCATGTAAAATGGGAATAATAATAGTAATAATAGTGTCTACTTTAAAGGACTGTTATGAGTAATAAATGAGTTGATAACTATAATTGTGTCTAGAAAAGAGCCTGACACATAGTAAGAACCATATAACAACTAAATAAAACGAACAGTGCAAATGACCCCAATAGGCACAGACATCATTCAGGGAACAAAAGAGACCTTTAAAAAAACTTTACTTAGTATCTTCAGAGACATTGGAGAGGCTGTTGCTGCTATAAAACATGAATAACTTGCCATAAAAAGGACCAATAAAAAACAAGAAATTATTCTTGGAAATTAAAAATACAACTGCCAAAATAAAAAATTATATAGTGGACATGAATAATAAATTGATCAAGGCTGAAAGGAAAGAGATTGGAAAATAAAGGAAAACTTAAGAATAATAGAGACTAGATTTATAATTAACATTAATTTACTAAGAGTACTAGGAGAGAATTGAAGCAATGGAAGGGAGAGAAAATCCAAGAAATAAAAGAAAGAAAATTTACTTGAGCTGAAAAAAAATAAACAATATGAATCTTCACATAGAAAGGACTTCCTGAGTGCCAAGCAAGACAAATAAGAGAAAGCTCTTTTTGAAGGGGTGATGGAGGTATGTGTGTGGAACGTATTATCTACAAAGGAACATGAAGCAAACAGACACCAGACTTTTCACAGCAACTAATGGATGCTAGAAAACAGTGGAGTGGTGTTTTCAAAGCAATTAAGGAAAAAGTTTTGAACCTAGAGTTCTTCTAATCAGTAAAAACGATCAGTGACAAGTAGGAGCAAAATAAAGACAATTTTAAACATGCCAGAGCTCAGAAATTATACAACATTTGAACTCGATATGAATAAAACTCTTTCAAGCCCTATAGGAAAAAAATTACTTAAGTACATCTTCAAGCAGAATGAAAAAGAATCTATGAAAGGAGGTATCGTGCGATATTAAAATAGAGAAAGAAAGGATGGGATCGGAAAGATTAAAACAGTATCTTCTACAC